AACTGTTTTTGCAATTGCTAGTTGGGCTATATGGCTGAACTTTCCTATTCAGACATCTTAATCCTGAATTATTCTAATTAGAACAAGTCAATTAGATGATAAATAACATCCATAATCTTCGAAGAAAAATCATCACACACATCAATCACTGATTTTACATATCCTTAAGAAGAATATGGGAACTCTTAAAATTAGCCCATCCTGGGGCTTGGGATTTAGCTTAGCGGCATAAGTGACTGCCTTGCAAGCAGGCAGTCGTGAGTTTGATCCCTGATACTGGTAAAAACGAAAAAGACCAAAAAAAAAAAAAAAAAAAAATTAGCCCATCCTAACAGAAGTGAGAAATTTTTGAATATCAATCATTCTTACAACTTTTTTGCATTGCTTTATCTACAACACAGAAAAATAAACATTTTAAAGAAGAAACTGATGACAGTAACAACTCAATCAAAACATGAATATTAGGCACAGAGACATAATAAGCTCCTAATAAGCTAACTGCTACTCTAAATTCTTGTACAATAAACTAGTGAAAGTTGAACAAGATATTTCATAAATACACACACAAACACATACACGTACACACACACATATATTCTCAGATATACAAAAAAATAGGTAAAAGTGAAGTAAAAATTAAACAACTACAAAAAAATCTGCTTATCTTACAACCACAGAGCTTTATTGAGAAATAAATGTAAAGAAATGAAAACAAAACCTCTTGGGGGAACCGAGCCCAGGGCCTTCTCACTTAGCTACATCCAATGCTTTTCATTTCTTTTTAACAAATTGGAGAGAGGAGAAAAAATGGTGGCATGTAGGAAGCTGGATAGAGAACCTCTTCTGAGAAATCAGCTCAGATGCTAGAATTTGACAACATGGAGAGGGCCAGAGGACTGGCTAACGATTTTTATTAACCAAGGTGGTAACCAAAGGGAAAAATAAAACTAGGAAGAGGAAGGAAAAGCACAGGTGGAGGACTGAAACCTGACACACCCACTGAGACCCATTCCATGTTGTACTAGGCACACCTGGATGATCCAAAGTCACACTGAGACTGCAGTTGCCGATAACGGGAGTTGGAGAATCCCGGGACCTTAATGGGAGCATGCAACGCAGTGAGAAGTGGATCCAAGAGAAAGAGCTTTATTGACTCTCAGTGAGTGCTGGAAATTGGGTCTCAGGGCCCCACAAAGCAGCCGGAGGCACCTGGCTTTGCTAGAGGAGACCATGAGAGGACCATACACCTGGGCACCAAAGCCTGGCACCGCACAGTTTTCTGATCAATCTGCGTTGTACTGGGAGTGCAGTGAAGACACACGGCACAGTGTGAAGTGGACCCAAGAGGAAGAACTGCATTGATTCCTGGTGAGTGCTAGGGATTGGATCCCATGGCTGCTGTCGCTAGCTGGAGGACATCTTCAAGTTGGGCAGAGCCTGGTGCCAGGGTGACATCAGTCAGCTGCCCCTGGCACAGAAAGAACTGGCGGGATCTCCTGGGGTTGAGCCACACCTCTTCTTGGGACCCAATAAGCAGGTACAAAATTGTCACAACTCTGTGACATCCACAAGGTACAGCTTAACTTGCAGATTGACTGGCTCAGAGGCTCAAGGCTAGCCTGCACAATCCCTGCATCCCTGCATGTACCTCAGATAACAGCAAATTGGGGAGGGCAGCAAAACCCCAGTCAGCGTGCTTACAAAGTCCCTAACTAATATGGAGATGGCTAGAGACCCCCAGGACAAACCAGTCTGAAAAAAAACAGAAAACATTACATGAGATAGGAAAAAAAAAACCCTCCAATTGCTGAACCTGGGAAAATAAGTCCAGGAGAAGTAAATACAGAAGAGATCCTGTACAGTAAGGATCCAATACTAGACACAGCATCAGCGGCCATAAAGAAATACCTTCATGACCTCATAGATGAATTTAAAACTGTACTTCTGATCCAAGTGAGGCAAGATATAAAAAGATTAATTAAAAAAATGATAAGCCCCTCCCAAGAGAACACAGATGGGAGAATGGAGGAAATCAGAAAAGAACGAGAAACCTTTGATGAAGAATTTAAACACAACCTAGAATACATGAAACAGATCCAAAGAGATCACCAGAAAACCCCATTGAAAACTGGCAAAATGCTTTGATAGAAACTAAAGTTAGTCTTTTGAAACTTGAACAGAGATTTATGATATATGATCATGAAAGAAAAGATCTCTTAAAAATAACAAGGAACCAGAAAAAAAATTCAAATGCTAGAAGATGACAAAAGGACCTCTCATTTAAGAATAAAGCACATGAGTGAAGAAGCAGAAGTAACCACAAATGAATTACAAAGGCTATTCACAGATATAATTAAGGAAAACTCCCCAAGCATAGGAAAAAGAAATGATATCCAGATAAATGAGGCATACAGAACTCCAGTCACCTACAACCAAAAGAGATCTGTACTCAGACATATAATAATCAAGATTTCAGAGATCCACCAAAAGAACAGAATATTAAAAGCATCCAGGAAAAAGAAGCAGATTACCTACAATGGAAAAATTATCAAAATAACAACAGACTTATCAACACAAACTCTCAAATCAAGATGAGCCTGGGGGGAAATAGTCCAATACCTGAAACAAAATAATTTGCAACCAAGACTGATATACCCAGAAAACTCCCTCTCAAAATTAATGGAGAAATAAGATGTTTCCAAGACAAGGAGGAACTGTGGGAGTTCATGACCAACCCAACCCTACAAGAAATACTGAAGGACATTAAACAGAGAGAGAGGAAAATAAATACCAAGATTCCAGCAACAATGGCAGAGCAGCCTCAATGAATGGGGCAGACAATGGAATGAAGGAGTAAAGTGGAAAAATTATAACAGACAAATAAAATTGCAGACATGAGGCAGAGACGGTAAGCTATAATCTTTAATATAGATAGCCTTGATATACTAAAATAAAAAAAAGAAACAGGCAGAGTAGATTAGGAAGCAGGTTCTATCAAGATGCTCTGAATAGGAAATACATTCAACCTGAAAGAGAGAGTTAATAAACTGAAAGTCAAAGATAAGAAAGCAATGCTATATGTGACAGGAAACCAGAGAGAAATAGGAACAACTCATCCAGCATCCTGAGAAGGGGAAAGGTGAAAAATAGCCTAACAAAGGAAGGCAGAAGACATTATTAATAGTGTATCAGGATTTAAAAGTCACAGTAGTCTTATCACTCTGTTTAGTTTGATTTTATTTTGTTCCGGTCTATCCACTCATATCTGATTTGAGGGCACAGACACTTAACCCAAAAATAACAGGTTATACCATGGTAAGTATTCTTAATTTCCTATTAACTTAAAGTGAAACCCTGTATTACTTACATTGTCTTACTGTGACTGATCTTATTTGAAGCTGGTTTGTTAGACCACGGTTTTGCCTTGGCTGATTTTATTCAAATTTGGTAGGCTTGATAGTATCAAGTCTAAGAGTGGAGGCAACTATTCTGAAGATGACAAGATGTAAAAGATATCCATACCAGTTTGGATTATTAACTGCTCTCAAATCCTACAATGTTTTCAAAGTTGTGTTTTTATGAAAATAGCTATGTAATACTATGCTTAACTATATTAAGCCTGAGGATGTGGACAAGTCTACTGAAAATAAGAAGAGATATCATAGTAACTATGGTAGATCACCTAATACTGTGGTCTTATGTGTCTTTTTCATTGCATGTTTTTCTAGGAATTTCTTTTGTTGTCTTTTTATGGTCTGTTTTTCCCTATAATACAAAGATATGTATACATGTAGAAATTCACACATGGGAAGAATTTTTTAAACTATATTCCGGAACAGATTATATAATGCATGATGTAATGAACAGCTACTCTGAAGAAGAAGAGACACTAAGAAACTGAATGCTAATTCTATAGCATTATGATGCAAAATCTAGCAATAGTATTATTCACTGTTCAGAGTGATATTAGTCTAGTCTCTTTAAGTTCAATTTCAGCATATGTAAAGATAAAGACAGCTACTTTGAAGAGAATGAGAGACATTATGGTAGTCATTATTGACTTCCCCAATGTCAGGTCTTGAAGACCTAAAAAGCCTTTATCATCCTATAATGATTTGATTTGTTCTATAATATGCAGTATGTATTCAATGTGTGTGAAGATAGAGACAACTATTTCGAAGAAAACTAGAGACAATAAGATACTGAAGATTTCCAGTGGACTTGCTTTGAAATCCATATTTCTTCAAATTGTTTCCTTATGAACAGTTTTGTTATGTTTTGGTATGTTGAATCTTACCCTCTTTAAGATAAAAACAAGTGAGTAGGACTGATAACCATATTACTAAGTTTTTGCTGGATCATTGAGCAGAACTGTTAGCAGTGTCACTATTTGTATGTCGCTTTGTACCCTTTAATTTTGTAACTTAAACAACTATTCCTAAGATGACAATATGTAACTTATCAACTAGTGATTTCCTATTGTTTATTTTTCTGTAATTCTGTATTATTTCTACTCCTTTTTCTGTTTTTTTTTTATTTTTTTTCTCTTTGAATAGAAAAAAAACCAAGAAATTGTATAGTGTGTACAGTTTACAAGATAATGTTGTAGAGAACAAATAAATATCAAAGTGGTCATTATAGTGAGCAAATTAACATATATACCATAAATAGATACTATCTTGGCCTTTTACAGGAGTAGCTAACAATCTACACCTCTAACAAAAGTAATATGGAACAATTTTATTAACTACACTCCTTGTATTTTGCATGGTATCTCCAGATTTCTCAAATTCCACAGACCTTCCCCTTTTTATCCTTTCAACAAATATTAGCAACAAACTATGTAGTACATAAATATAAATGTCATATTTTGTATGTTATAAATTTTCTATATTTGACGTTTAATAATAAAAGTAATAAATACAATTTTCTAAAACTCAAAAGTCTATCCATGACAGAGATTGTGATATTGATGCTGATGGGTTATTATGTGAGAAGACTTTGAATAACACACATAGCCATATGTTTAAAGCCCAGAAATCAACACAAAACACGACTAATTATCTGTGAAACTCTATTGCATGCAGCACTAGAACTGCTACACATAAGAGAGCTTGAAACCATTAATTTCACCACATACATGTATATCAGAACATCATGTTGGTACACCTTACATAGAAACAATAAAAAATAACTCAGAAAAACTATCTGTTAAGAGTCAATATTTAATACCAACAAGATATTCTGAAACTGAGTGTTATGGATTAAGAACTGGTGGTCAACTTAATGCCAGCTGGATTACATTGGCATGGCACTGAGCGAAAATGCTCCACCTCAGGAAAGTTGCCAGGATAAATAGGTGGAGAAGAAGAGAGTTATTGAGGGTTGAGGCATTAAGGAGTCATTGTGGGTTCTCATACAAGTTGCTGTCTGAGCTGTTGATTCTCCTGGAGAGGCTTTGGTCCTCACATGGAGCATTGCTTCCTGGCTCCGGAGGGGAAGACATGTGCTGCTGGTCTCCAGCATGAGCTCGTCACGCTGCTTTCTGGCATGTGCCCGACTGTGCTTGTCATCGGAGTACTCGGGGCCTCCGTGTGGCTGAGGACGGCTGTGGTGCCTCTCAGGATAGCCCTGGTCTTTGTCGTGAGTGTGACTTCTTGGCTCCAGGGTAGAACCCTCATCCCACTAGCACAGCTCCTTCATCCTCCTGGCATAGGCTTTCTGGCTTCCATCACTGACCCTTGGTCTTCTCAGCACAGATCCCTAAAAGAGACTGGCGTGAGTCCTTCCTATGGGCTCTGGACCTCCAGTTGGACTCATGGGAGGGAGGCATTGTCCTGAGCTCTGTGTTTTTATCTGGACTCATGTGGGACATTGCCGTGGGGTTTAGGCTCTTGACTAAATAATCTATGTCTTTGGTGTTGGGTTAGATTTCCTGCATTTCACTGTGTGAACTTCCGGTGACCACCATAGAAATATTATAAATTCCATGTCCTAATCCTAGTTGTTCTCTGTGTACAACCCCTCACTAGAACACTGAGTCTTCCCAAATCATCGTGAATCTAACTCTCCTACTATATGCATTAAATGTTTCTGCAGTAGTGGAACTTCTGAAAACTGCACTTTGCTACTTACAAACCAACACAGCAAATACTGGAAAGTCTTGCCAAGACCAGCAGAGGGCACAGGCCAGAGGCAGGTTTTCGCACAGACTGCAGGTGACTGGCAAGCACTGTGCACTGGCTGCACAGAAGTACACGGCTGCATCTCCAGGTTGGGTGTCTGTGATGTGCAGGGAGACCTGCTTAGCTGTCTTGCTGAATGAAACAAGGAGTCTTTGCTTTTGCACACTCACTGCATTTGAACGAATGTCAATAATGAGCTGGGGCCCCTTCCCAGCTTCTTGTCTGTACCAAGGGAAGTAGGACGAAGCACTGTCCGAGTAAGTACAGTTGATGACAGAGGTGTCTCCCTCCTGCACACGCAGGGTGCTGGGAAGCTGCTCCAGCTGCTCTGCTCGGCCCCCTGCACAGAGGAAAGGAAAGCAGAGAAAGTCAGATCACTCTCCACAGCTGACTTTTTTTTACAATATTGTAAGGAACCTAAGTAAAGCCAGTCTTCTCTCTGGACATCTACAGAGCACCTGTTAATATACAGTGTCTTTCGGCCCCAAATCCTCAACTCACAATCCAGCTGCAACCACAGGAACGTGAGCAGAGCCTGAGCTGGAGTCCTCATGGTTCTTCCCAGTTGGATCAACAGTAGACTTGCAAGCTCTTGCCAGAGAGCTACTTCTCGTGTCAAGGTGTCCCTTTCTTCCACTCTAGTGACTGTACTGGTTTTTGGCACTGTCTTCTCAGCCAATAAGGAAAAAGCTGTGCTTCTGCTCTCAGCCTGCTCACTCTGAATCCCTGAAATAAACCCTCCACCTACAGCTTCAGCACCAGCTGGGCGATACTGCCCCCTCGTGGTCACATCGCTAAGTTCTGACTCTGGTTCCATGTTCTCTCACCTTATGAGGGACTCAGCCAACTGCCAGCAGCAAGGAGAGGATGGCAGGGCTGGTTCAGTATGCAAAAGCAATAATGGCTGTAGTTCCTCATCCTAACCGAATGAGAGCTTTTTACAGTCCTGTATGATCACCTTCACAGTTACGTAGCAAGCGGCTCACAAAGTTCTCTGAACAGTGCTGATCCCAAGATGCAGTCCCTCTTGTCAGACCCAAACAACACTGGGAGCCTGGAGACCAGGAAGGAAGTGCACATGCCCTGCCTCAGGAGTCTGTCAGTGACTTTCTAAAACCACACTAACAAGCCTTTCACACAGCCCACGCTCTCCAAAGCAGCAGTGTTTGAAGTAAATCCGTGTTCCCTGTTCCTAAGTATTAAGACCTTTAAGAGAGAAGGGCTTCTGTGCAGGGCTCTGACTTATGCGCTCACTGGGACTCTTCAAGATGAGGTACCAACAGCTGTCTACCAGGATGGGAGTACTGAGAGGAACTCGGAGGGGCCTCCTAGCAGTCCTGCTCCTGTCCAGTGGGCAGTGCCTCACTGACTGGAAGCCTGAAGGACACCCCACCTGCCACTGCAGGCTCAGTGATGCTCACAGTGACAGAAATGTGGCTTTGGAGGCTCTGGCTATTAGTATAAAGCTTAGAATGAAAAACCTATGTCCAATATGCTGAGCAGAATTTTAAAAAGTGAAATTATGTGCTTCTGTTACTCAGTATCTAAATGTCAAAGGCACTTCTGAGCTTAATTGCATCATCTACAACAAATGCTTCAAAGTTACAGTGCATATCACTTTACAGTGAGTCCTGTGAAGTAAGAAGCCAACTCATGATTTCAAACTGCAGTGATCTATGGTCTCACATAAGGTTATCTAAAATGCTCTTCTTCCTGCTGCACAGACTTGTGTAACAAACCTGTCTTTAACATTCATCCAGAAGACAAAGATTCTTGCAAGGTGCTCTCCCAGCACCTGCCCTCCACCAGTGAGCTGCAGACAACTCGGCTTCCAGGCTCTGAGACCACAGTGCTTAGCCAGGCAGATCCCTTTTGCTGATGATCCCTTCCCTCCCTTCTATACAGCCATAATTTTACAGCTAATTTCACAAATTATTGTTGAACTTGCTGAACTTCCTAATTTCACAAATTATTGTTGAACATCTTAATATATAATACTACTACAGTTTTCTCCAACCAAATGGAGGAAACTACACAAAAGAAAAGAATTGGACCATACGGGAAGAAAGTAAAATTATCATGCGAGAAGGAAAAATGAGTAATATTGGACACTGGAAAAACACTGACGGCCAGGGATATAGCTCAGTGCCACAGCACGTATCTGGCAAGTGCAAGGTACGGGTTCAATTCTCAGTACCAAAAAAAAAAAAAAAAAGAACAGAGACAAAAGGCTTTCATCCTGTGTGTGTGTGCGCGCGCGTGCGAGCGCTAGAAAGGGGTAAAAGGAGAGAAAGAGAGAGACAGACAGACAGAGAGAGAGAGACAGAGAGAGACAGAGAGAGATTTAACATTACTTATAATGGCAGAAATGAATTTTGCATTTCTGAAACAGTAAAGAAAACAAAAGCACTTCATCTGTGCAAGAAAGGACACTCTTAAAAAGGAATACAAAAATATATATCAAGTATATACCAAAATATTAAAACTGTTTAAGGAGATTAAAATGTTAAATGCCCTGACTTGATTATTCAACATTGTATAAAAATGTCCCTACAGGAGAGATTTTGCTCCAGGAGTTTGTAGGCCTGTTTTCTGTAATATTATTCTAGATAGGGAGTGAAAAAGTTCATCTGGACTGGGAGGGTGTCCGGTGTGCCTTGGAAACTCAGCAAATCCTGGGCAAATGTTAGACTAATGATAATTTCTTTTCTCTTGTGGCAATTGTTTATACAGTTAAGGCAAAAAGGATAATTAGCAGGGAGCTAGGAAAGCAACCACGGGGGTAAACAGCCTGGAAAGGTCCGTAGAACAATCTTCACACACATGAAGTGCATAGAGCAAAGAAATTGTAAATTTCCACCTTCCCCAAGGTATGATAACTTTCTTGGAAATGAAGACCATCTCAGGCTCTTCTCCAGAAGAAGAAGGATGCTTGTATTAACAGTTCCTCAAACTCAGTGATATTTCCTGTAGACATTCTGTTACTTGTTTTTCTAATCAGGTTTCCATTACTCAGATAAAAATATCTGACATTAAAGCTTAAAGAAAGAAAGACATGGTCCAACTCACAATTTCAGTGATTCCAGTCCATGATCAGCTGGTTCCACTGCTTTTTAGCCGGTTGCAAGCCAGAAATATCTCAGCAATGGAGCAGGAGAGAGACCAAAGCAAGAGAGAAGGCTCATCCCATCTTTGCCTGAGAAACCGTCTGCTTTGTTCCCTTCCTTCCTTCATATCTCCCTTCTTTCTTTCATCTCTTCTTTCCTTCCTTCTTTCTTCCCTTCCTTCTTATCAATAATTTGTGATTTTATAAAATACTTTCTACAGTCAGCATTTATAAAAGTATTGAATTAGTGATACTAGTAAATCTGACAACTCCAAAACATCATTCTCATTTAATTGACAAATCTGACACATTTCACATCACCCAGAAGCAGCCAACCTAACTGAAACAGGGAACAGCTGGCTGAAGCCTGAGTGATGGTGCCAGCTGGGAGAAACTCTGTCAGAAATATGGTTCACGTAAGCTGTTACCTCAGGATTCATTTTTAAGTGTGACACATTTGCCTTGTGACACCAACAATTTCCAGAAAAAAACAGTAAGATGTAGTTTTACAGAATTTGAAATTTGCAAATACAAAAATGAGCTTAAATTTAGTGGGAAAAATAAATACGGCTAGTTGTGTCCAAATTTGAAATGTAATCTAGAGGGTAAGTACGGCTGCTGTTTTCCTCCAGTCTTTTTTGTAAAATGTTGGCTGTGTCACAAGGAGTGTCCTGTGCTTTCTGTAAGCTGAGGCCTGCTGAAATGTCACACATTCCTTTTTAGCTTTAACCTCAGCCAAAGTGTCAACTGAAGCAGGCAGTTCTATAGCCAGCAGGAAGTGGTATGAAGGAATAGAGAGGTTACTGTCCAGAGTAGCAAATTGTTCTCATCAGCAGACCTGCTTTACATTAGCTGGGGCAGCTGCTACAGATGGTTGCAAAATGTGTAACAAAATGATAACAAAAAATGTAATACCAGTGGCTTCTGGCACACAGTGGGACGGGCTCCAGTGAGGGCGGGTCTGGCTACAGCCTTCTGTCCAGGGTTTTCTTTTCTTTTCTTTCTTTCCTCCTTTTTTCTTTTAGTTTTATCCTGGGTCAAGAGCATCCGTCTCCTTCCTTCTGGTCTTCTTCAGAATGCTGTATTCCAGCATCTGGGCTGTTTCTCTCACAGAGGTTTTTTACGTTGCTGCTTATTGATGAGCCATATTCCCAGCTCCCCAAAATCCCTGACTGATTTTATTTGAATCTGTTTTGATTGATGGTTGTCTTGTTTTCACTGATTTTTTTCAAATCTGTTTTGTTTGATTACATCAAGTCTAAGGGTATAGACAACTAATTTGAAGACAATAAGATTCACTGTGATACCCATTGTGGTTTGACTATTATCTTCTTTTGAAGTCCTACAATGTCTTCAATGTTTTGTTTTTATTGATTTTGTTCTGTATTATTATGTTCAGTTTTATTATGCCTGATAACAGGAGAAATTCTATTGAACAAGAGATATCACGGTAACCATTGTGGATCACCTTGTAATTTGGTTTTAAGACACATACTGTGTCCATCCTTTTGTTTTGATTGACCTCATTTTGTTTTCTCTCATTTGGTTTTATTCTCTTCAAAATAAAAATAAATAAATAAATGTAATACCTGGACTCGGGAAATCTTTGGCACAGTTCTGATATTCAGCTTCATCAAAGTTGCTAACATGCCACTCATAAAACTAGGAATACTGCAGAAGATACTTGTAAATAAGTTTATGAAAATGTCCTCCAAGTTTCATGAAATTGTACCCACATTTTTCTTTCTGTTGAATCTTTTTCTTCTCCGCTTGTTTTCTTACATAAGTGCAGACTTTTACACAGCCATTAGTCTATTGAGTTAAAACATTGTTTTCATTTTCTGGCTCAAAATATTTTTCTTTTGTTCTGCAGCTAAGATACACTTCATCTGTCCAATCATAGAATACATTGCTCTATCGATGCCAGTGTCTAGTTTCATTTCCATATGTTTAATTTTTTTTCTTCTGAAGTCTTTCAGATAGCTGAAGAAAATAGCTTATTAGTGGCATGAGGTGATCATTAAATTGCTTATCAAAAATATGAAAAACTGTGTTGGCCTGTTGCCCAACATCCCAAAAAATACAGATTTCCATTCCTAGAATCTGAGGAAGGAATTCTAGCAAGTCATATTTCCAAAGCATAACCAATATCTTGAATACATAAACCAGGCATGGCGGGGCACACCTGTATTTCAGCACTCAAGAGACTCAGCCAAGAGGACTACTGCAAACTCAAGGCCGGGCTGGGCTATCTAGTGAGTTCAAGGCCTTTCTGAAATGCATAGCAAGATATTACATAGGTTCAATACATAAACATTCAACAGGAATAGTAGAAAGTCTAAAGGTATTCCTTGGCAAATCAGAAAGCCTATGACATCTTTCAAAGACTCAATTGGTTTCTTGTAAAAGATTAACCACCACTTCTTGGGACAGGAAAGTTTCCCATAAGTATCAGTACTAGATCCCAGCTGTGATTTGGTAACTGTCCAATGCTGTCTTTCAAATATTGAACACCTCCTGTGCCAACTCTCTTTTGATGAATTTTTGAATCATAAGAGGGTGGAGGGATCATAGCACTTCTTCTTTTCAAATAACCAGTCTTTACCTCAATATAGTTCTCCAAACAGGAAATGAAAATGGATTTGCTGAACTTAGACAAGAAAGTCTGTTTAACACACCTTTGATGAGCAGAGGAAACACCAATACACCAGGCAGGCAATGCCCCAGCGCATGCCAACACACACATGGAAGGGTCTGAGGCAGCAACAGAGAGCCCGCATCTCAGCTCTAGAGGACACTAACAGAACAGGCCCAGTCCCCACATCTAGAGGCCAAGACCAGCTCTGTACCAGCACAAATCCCATGGCTGTGTGACTGTCGAACAGCAAGCAGCACATTTCTGGGATGTGACTTGGACACCATCGCGGAACTGTGAGCCCCAGAGGTATCTTTTTCTCCCTGGATTATCTGACTGGCTATCTTTTTCCTGGCTGCTTTTATTTTGTTGTGTTTTGTTTTGTATTTTGTGGTCATTTTGGTTTTGAATTTTTTCTTTCATTTTTTATTTTTCTCCTTTTCCCTTTTTTGTTCTTTCTTCCACCTTTTTTCACTGCTTAGGTTTATTACTTTATGTTTTTGTTTTCTTCTGCTGATCCTCTTTTTTTCTTCAACAGCCCCTTGAATTTATACTCCCGTGTGATAATAAAGCAGTGTTGCTGCTGCTTCACTCATCTGGAGATGTCACCTTTTCTTCGAACTCTAGTGAATTCCTGAAACAGTTGTCATTCTCAATCATGGTATTTACTTGAAATTTCAGATTTACCTTCTGAAAACTTATCTTGTTGTGAAATTTTGTATCAGTCATTATATAGATTGGTTTTATTCTATTCTATTGGTTTTATTTTACTCTATTCTATTTATGCTTGGATTACTTTTATTATGTTGGGTGATATGGGCAGCTATTTTGAAGATAACAAGAGGCATTATGGTAGCCATTGGTGATTTTCTATTATCTTGTTTGGAACTCCTATACTATTCTCACTGTTTTGTTTGATTGGATTTATTCTGTTTCATTTTGTTTGATTTCATTTTCTTTAAAATAAAAACTCAATAACACAAGGGAAAGCCATACAAAGGTTTAACAAAGAACATAATTTTAAGACTTCATCTTAGGAAGCCAACTAGCCAGCCTTTCTAGTAAGCCACACAAGCAATGATGGGGCCCTTGGGAACAGGAAGAGATAAACAGGGTGAGGCCAAAAGTCTAATGGGTAATTCTGATCACAAAGTATAAAATAACAGGCTTGCATTAATATTGAAAATAAGTAGATCAAATATAGTGAAAACATAAATTAGGTTAACATCAACTGTTCTACATAAAACGGTTCAGAAAGTAAGGATGTAATTTTGCTCAATATACTTGTCTTGCATGTCATTAACAGAATAGCAAATAGAAACATTTGTTGGGATCTGGCCAATTTCTCCAACTGCCTGGATGAGGGATATGGTGAAAGGATGAAAGAACAGACAGAGAAAAATTTAGTAACATACAAGAGGAGGACTGGGAGAACAAATCCCTCAGAATAGGCAAAGACAAAGACACCTCAAGCTAGCCACTATTTATTGGGTGCGCACAATAACCAAAGGAAGTATTGAGTGACTCAGAGAGCAGGCAGGTGGTGATCTCATGCTGATGAGGAATCTATGTTGATGAGGATGGCAGGATGTGCACAGTGTTCTTGCAATAGCAGGAGGGGAGATATGGTACACTAGTAACTTGACTTTTCCACTAGGTAAAATTTTTTTATCACTATTTGGTTTCCAAGGAATCAGCTGATATAATATTGTCCTGGAACATCACAGCATCATGGTCCTCAGCTATGACCAGAGGCACAGGAGGTTATGTTTCTGTGTACCACAGCCAGCTGCATTGCAAGACGCTAGGCCTTAGAGGATGACCAATCACAACTTAAGTATGAAATTATTGCCCCCAAAGATTATATACAATGACTCTCAACAGGCACTGTCATTACTAAGAGACAAAATCATCAATCCTAGGTCATTGAATACACCCCTATGATAATAATTCAAGTCACATGGGAGATGGAAGCATCCAAACAATTCAGGCCCAGCATGTACAGCACTGGAAGGCTCCATCATAGCTCCAGCTGAGGTCTCAACATGGGTGAGGGACCACTGTGTCAAAAAACAGCCTTGTCCCTGGTTGCAACTAATTCCATAAAATGCTGACCTCCTTGTCTCCATCTGAAAGATTTTTAATGAATCCAGTATCATCTGTGATAAAAAATAAATAAAAACAAAAATTTACACTGCTGGAAACAGAAGATTTTTCTTCTAAATTGATGCAAAAATAGAAAAATTATGGTACAAATGAAAAGATTTAGCACCTTAAGGAAGGCAAGAGACCAGAGAAGCAGCACAGGTTGATGAAAAGGTTTATTCTGGAACAACATAAATATAAAATAATATATTGATAAAACCACTTACCTGTGTAAAAACAAACATTTGAGTGCAGGAAAAGTTTTGTCTTTCAATACGTATTTACAAGGGCAATTAGAAGAGGAAAAAAGAATAACTTGCAGTATCACTCATAAAATTAAAACAGGTTTTATAAGAGTTAAGAAATTTGAAATCCTCAGGTTAGTTTATACAATTAGATGAAAGAAAGCCAAAACGTTATTTCTAACTTTAATGAAGAAAAGCTATCAGAAGTTAGCCATGATTTATCTATGCTACAAGATTGCAAACATTTGAATATTTTACTGTTTTCCTATACCATGCAGCTATTAATTGTATTTTCAAATCAGTTAGTAATCCTGTTATTAAAAGTAAAAGCCTTTCTAGTAAGAACAATATTACTTGACACTGACATCAGATGTCCTTGGAAGAAAGAAATCTGAATGTCACACAAAAGTCCACCCTAGAGACTTGTCATTTCCCTAAGACATCCCTGACTTTCAAAGAGAGTTCCCAGAGTATTCTAAAACTTACTTGGTCTTCCTTAAAATACGGGGAACTTTGAAGTTGACCTTGTCTCAGAATATTTTAAAATGTTCATGTCTTAAAAACAATGGGAAAATCCTGAATTTAAACATGAGAATGGCAGGCTGTGTACCCAGCCCCAGTTCCAGGTTTGCGCACGGGCTGCAGGTGCCTCAAGAGCTCTGTGTGCTGGCTGCACAGAAGTAGGAGGCTGAGTCTCCAGGACGGGTAGATGTGATGTTCAGGGAGAGATGTTTATCCTTTTTATTCAAAAAGACAATGAATCTTCCATCTTGTTTGTTGGCTGTATTTGAAAAAATATTTATGAGCAACTGGAGACCTGCACCAGGTTCTTGTTTATACCAGTAGAAATAAGAGGAAGTGCTGTCCGTGTAAGTGCAGTTGAGAACAGAACTATCTCCCTCCAAGACACTTGTGAAAGATGGATGCTGCTCCAACTGCTCGCCTCCACTCAAACCTGAGCAAAAGGAAAAGTCAGACAATCACCAGTCATCCTTCTCCAGATTTTGCAGGGTTTCCTATATCAATTTCACTCAACCTGGGAAGGCCAGACTCGTCCCAGGCTTACGAAGAATATTACTAAACACCTTGTTTCCAAAAGCTCTCAACTCACTGTGCAACTGCAGCCACAAGCACAGGAACCAAGGAGCAGTGGGTGTCTTCATTGCCCTCTCCAGGAGGGCTGCGACCTTCAGCCACGAGAGATGCTTCTGCTATCAGGTTTTCTCTTCCTCTCCTCCAGAGAACAGCAGGTTTTTAAACTGTCTACAGAATCTGCTTGTTTTGTGCCCTGCTTTTAAGAATTCAACCTCAAGGTCTGTTACATATTCTGCATCAAGAGAGATGCTCTGCCATCTTGTGGCCAGATCCTCAATTACTAAGACAACCCTTCATGTTCTGTTTTATCCCATAGCTGTGAGACTCACTGATACACAAAATGGTTGAAGGTCAAAAAGAGTTAAATCTCAAGCTTTTCTCCTATCAAAAATAATGTAGGTTAGCAGAAATCAGGCCCCGTAACAAATGTACAGTTGAAAATTGTATCTCATCTCAGCATGCTACTGACTTATTTTAATTAACTTTAATATTTTAGCTTTTCCAGGCTGAATGTAACAAAATTAGTGCTATGATCGACTCTCCTAAGCAACTGAAAGTCAAACTTTGCCTCCCCATCCTTCTCCTTGTTATGAAGTTGGCCGGAGAATCAGCCAAATCAACCAGGGAAGGTAACTCTTTCAAGTGACATTTAATCCCAAAGACCTGAGTAAAGGACAGATGCTCACTAGATATGTCAGGTACACACTATGTCAGACTCTCCTCCCCATATCTGGTTTTGGGCATGAACTGCCACTCCAAGGAAATGGACAGTTCAGGAAAGAAAACACAATGTTCCTTAATAAAGCTTAAGATAGAGAAGAGGAGGGACAAACTTTCCCACGAGAGAGTAGTATTAGTCCACCCAAAGAAGCAAGTTAGCCTTAAATTGTGATGGGAACTCTGACATAAATTTTAAGATCTTTTTCTAAGAACAGATGGTCTAAAAACTTGAGTATTGGCTTACTTAGGGTTAAGGTTACATAATTATGAAATAATACCATGTAGTAGAATTTTCCCACTTGTGCCTAGACCACTGTTACCTCAAATTTGAGATGCACAAACTTTTTGCATGATTTTCTTGTATGTGCTAAAATCACTCTGTAGATATTCTCCTGTGATAAGTTCTCTTTCTGAGTCCTTTCTCATTTGTTTTAACATCTTGGATCTTCTTGATTTATTACAGCAGAAATGACTCTGGGCAAAGCTAAAGTCAATGCCTGTGAGTGGCACATCACTCAGCCATAAGAAACTGACTGTCAGAGTACCTAGCCCAACTGTTCGTTAGAAGCAAAAATCTCTTCCAAGTGATTAGAGCCAATGGAACCTGAGGATATTTAGAAAATTAACATATTTTTTATTCATATTATACTCATACATTTCAAGGTTGTGATTATGCAAAGTCACTTTCCTAATATAGAAATATATGTACATATGATAGAAACATGTACACTTACATACATTAAATCCAATTATTTAAATTTTATATTTTAAAGATTTTCATTCTTTCACTCATTCTTCATAGAATATAAATATCAAATATTTTACAGTGATATTTTTGGCTGTCTTTCTCATGTACCTTTCTTGACACTAGAGGTCAATATGTGTATAGAATTCAAAACTGATGACATTTGAAAGTGACTTAACTATGGTACTCAGTTCTACATATATATTAAAACCGGAGAATAAGTATTCCTGCAACAAATGCTCAGTCATGTGACTTTGTCATTAGTCCTTAAGTCCTTATCAAAAAAAGTGCTATGAAACTGCTGTTTTCTCATACTACATTGATCTCACTGTGCATGAGTAATATTCACATTGTTTTTAATTTTCTGCACATGTTTCCCTGTGATCACTGTTGTCTTTCATTCTGTGTGAGGTATTCTTTATGTTGGATACTGAGTGCAGTTTAACCTTATTGATACAAAGTAGACAGTGCATCTCTGTGATAACAACAGTGTTAAGCAATGCTTGGCTACCCTGGTGTGGCTCCTGTGAGCTGCTGGTTTCCGTGGAGAGTGAGAGTGTTTGAGCTGAGTCCTCTTCTCCTTTAGCAGTTCTCAGGATGCATTGTCTGGTGGGCACAGACCACACACAGTAGGGGCTGCCGGTGCATGTCCACACTGTAGGACACTGCACACTAATATAGAGTCCAAGAACTTGATGGTCTGTATTCAATGAAAGTCAGTGAAGAACAGGAGAAGGAGAAAACGATGAGACAACACAGCTCTCAAGGCTTGCTCTACCCTCCCAGCCATTTTCAGCACCTCTTCTCTGTTCCTGTGCAAAGCAGACTGGGTCCCCACCTCCTGGGGCAGGCTTGTGCAAACTCTGTTCCCTCGCCTGGGTTGAGGAGTGGAGGGAGTGTTGGCTAGGTGTTCAGCAGCAGAAAGTTTGGAAACATCAGTTATCTCTAAAAGAAAAAAAAAAAAAAAAACAACTCACAGTCCAAATTTGTCGCGATAATTACATCACCACCATATATCATATAAAACATACAAAGAAAGAAAATTACAGTGAGTGGCAATGTCTGCTCTTGTCATGGGGAGGGAATGAATCTGTGACCATTAAAGCAGCTGTCAACTCGGTTGGCTTGGGAGCTGCCAAGGAAATCAATCAAGCACACTTTTCAGTGCCTGGTGTATCATGGGGGCAGGACTCTGAGGTCTATGTCTCAGACCTGGAATCTGCTCCTCTGGCACCATTCCCCTCTCTTCTTCCGAGGTACCATGAGATAAATGCCTTTGCACTTCTGCTTCCAGCATGAGCCTGGTTAACCCTTTTCTCCTTTCAGTTGTATTAGGAACTGTGTCCCAGCAATGGGAAAGCTGTCTAATACAGGATCTTCACCACATGTAATTTTAAAATGAGGAGTAAACCAGGCATGATGGTACATACTTGTAATCTGAGCACTCAGGACACAGGCAGGAGGATATCTGTGAGTTCAAGGTCAACCCAAACTACAAGGCCAGTCTCTGTCTCAAAACAAACAAATAACAATGAAAAGTAAAGAGTTATCCCCGATTTGAAGCTGAGGAGAAGTTTCTACAAAATTTAAATTGAGATGATAGAGACTGCCAATATGATTTAGAGTAAAAATTTACCCTGGAACTCTACAACTCTAATCACAAAACTTTGTTTTCCTGTTCTTCTCTTTCTCCTTCTTCTCCTCCTTTATTCTCTTTGTCTTTTCCCTCTCCTTCTTTTCTTCTTCCTCTTTTATTTCTTCTTCTTCCTTTTCTTTTACCAGTTTCCTCCTTTTCTTTCTTATCTTCATCCCCCTCTTGACCCTCCTCTTTCTCGTCTGCCTTTCTGCTCCTTTTCCACGTTCTCCTTTATCTCCACATTCTTACTCGCCTCTTTCTTTTTCTCCTTCTCCACTTCTTTTCATACTTCTCCTCCTGTGACTCCTCATTCTTCTCCATTTGTGGAGCTAACGGTTGAACCCAGGCCTTACACATGCTAAGCCCACACTGTTCTACTGAGCCAGATTCTCAGCCTTACTGAGTGATTTGTTATTAAGCCAATTTGTAAGCTGATCTGTCTCAGTGGGAGGAGACCACAACATGTTTGGACCTTCTCCACCATTCCATATCCAGTATTCTCGCCCTCACTCTCATTCTCTTATTTAAATCCCAGTATGCTTCACAGTGTCAATTTCAACTTCAAATATTAAGAGAATCTCTTTTGTGATTATTAAAGAGCCCCCTCCTATCGAAATCAGAACATCAACTTTTCATCCAATTCCAAACATTTTTCTTTCCCACAAATACAAATATCCACAAATAATGAAATACCTTTACCCACCAGGCAAAAAAGACAAATCTCTAAAAATATTTTTGGCAAACTGTAAAAATTTCAGTGCAACAGAAGTGTTATGAGCACCCTCCTAGTAAATCCTTCCACATCTGGTATTCAAAGCACTCTGAAAAATGCTGCCACTTCATCTCATTGCTTTAAGACCACGACCACCTGGTTTCAAGGCCTTGTTGCAACATGGTCTTCAGTCAGTTTTTACTTTTTGTTACTTCCTTCTTAACTAACAGAGAAATCCAAGAATCTGCATAAATTTGGAAGAAGCTAGCAATATGAACAAAGATCAGTACATAAACATGTTTTCTTAGATCTGGCACATACATAAATATCACATTGTCGGATATGAGAGATCAAAAAGGAAAATAAGGTCTAAAATGTATAATAAATATTTACAAATAGAAAGAAAATGCTAAACTAGGAAGGGGATCAATGGAGAGGGGGGGATTAAAAAGAAAGAAGGGAAAAGAAAAAAATGGAATAGAGAGAAAAATTAGACACAAAGCTTTTATAAATAAGAAGGAAAGGCAAGTTCAGTGGAGAGGAAGGGATGGGGGGACAAAGGAGCCATCAAGACAGATCATGGATATGATCATTATGTACATCTAACATTACCAATAGAATTAAGTTTAAAAGTGCATAGACACGGACCCGCCCAGAAAAAAAAAAAAAAAAAAACTACAGACCAGTTTCCTTAATCATCATAGATACGAAAAACTTTAATAAGATATTGACAAACAGAATACAGCAAAGCATCAAGAAGATTATACACCATGACAAAACAGGATTCAATCCAGGAATACAAGCATGTTTCTATACGTTAAAATAAAAAATGTAGCATAACGTATTAACAGAACCAAAGACAAAAACACATCATCATCTCAATAGATGCAGAAAAAGCATTTGACAAAATTCAGCACCCATTCATGATAAAAAATCAGAAACAAGACACGGATGTCCACTGTTACAACTCCTGTTCAATATACTTCTAGAAACATTAGGCAGAGACACTAGACAGGAAAAAGAAATGCAAGGAATAAGGTTAGGAAGGGAAGAAGTTAAATTACCATTATTTGAAGATAACATATTACTCTGTGTAGAACACCCCAAAAACTCTACCAACCCACTTCTAGATTTGCTTGCCAAATTCAGCAGCATAGCTGGATAAAAACTCAACACTCAAACATTTATAGCATTTCTGTGCACAAGCAAAAATCTCACTGAGAGAAAAAGTAGGGAAACCACACCCTTCACAGTAGCATTCAAAAAATGTAATATTTAGAATCAATCTGATAAAAGAAGTAAAACACCTATACATTAAACATTGGAGCACTCTAAAAAAGGAGATTGAATAGGATTTCAGAACATGGAAAGATAACC